CTCTTGCAGTTCTTGCTTGTAGATTACTCTTCTGGATTTTTGATTTCCAGTCAATTTTGATTGTCAAAAATTTAAATGCAATGCCAATCGTTAGCTACTGTCTTCTTAATTGCAGTTCTTTTATTGTTGTCTTTCCTTAATGTTGTGGAGTAGCTGAACACCCTCACATGATGGACTGGTCTAAGACTATTTAAACAGCACTCTCTCTCTTATTGAGGGAGAGGTGTTAATGATTAATTGTTTATTACATTAGTCTGTGTTCTCAACCCTGTACCATATTATTCTTGAGAATAAACTACTACTTATTTTCTATATATGTGTCATCCTTTCCTATTTGTGACACAACACTTAATGTTTTTCTGATATTTGCTCACACTCAGTATTCCCTTGCATCTTAGTGGATTTATTGCCTTGCTTGGGGTGAAATGGTTAAAAATAAAAATTTAAAAAGATGAGGATATTAGTTTGAATATAATTAAAAAAAAAGTTAGGAAGTGTTTTTTTTCTTTTCATTTAAATATTTTTTCCAATATTCACCCTATTGTTACGAATTTTACGAGGTGGGATGATTGACGGAAACATAAGAAATTGATAATTGATACATAAAATAGAATCAATCTCCTACTTGCAATATGAAGCCATGGTAGTAACACAAGTAGAAGGATAGTAAAATTGATAAAAACACTATGCAGGGTCATCGAAGTGTAATGCCCATTTTTTCAGCAGTTACCAGTCGAATCAAACTTTGCAGCTTCCATGATGTTTCATAAGACAAGCACAAATCCCACGACTGGAATGTCAATCGGTAACAGCGACCAGTTCTTTTTGTCTCTGGTTCATGGTATGTGTCGATTAATGTCACACTGGAGACACAGTCACCAGCAACCTCGCATACAATGGAAGAAAGCTGATTTTCATCAAATTCCAAAGCCGCATTTTCCCAGAAGCTCATGTCGTGCACAAACTTTAGAGGAAAGATACTAACTGGTTCGTACTTAGCAGTTGTGGCAGATGAGTGTTGAGGATCAGGTTTTAAAAACTTTCCAAGGTTTTCGTGCCACAGAATTCTTTTATGTTCAATAGAGAATCGGATTTGGGTCACGATATCAATGTTTATGAGAAATCCCCATAATTGGATCTCATTTTCTTTGCTTTGGTTGGAAATTTTTAAGATGTGACCAATACACATTTCTTCGGCAATGTTTTTGCACATAATTTTTGCCACAAATTCAACGGAGATGGTTTTGATTATAATTTGAAGCCAAGTCTTGTGAACTGATGTGGCAAAGTTGGTGGATAGCGAACATGTCTTTAAGCTACGAGAAAGCATTTCATTGATTTCTTCCAGCTTGTTTTCTTCCGCGTTGCATTTTATCAGTCCCAAGAGTTCTATAGAGACTGGGAGGAAACCAGGGGAGATAACTCCTTGCTTATAAGTCAAACCATTTGTCAGGAGCAACTGAGATTTCTCAAAATCCTCACAGTCTAGCAGTAAAGGGATGTTTTCAATGAGAGATGTTCGAAAATAAGACTCCTTGCCATCTTTTGAAACAGTCTGGTATTCAGGAGATTCAAGGATGCCAGCTGAAGATGTGAAACCATCTGAGTTGACGTTAGTAGCCTTTTGAGAATCAGAAGTCGAAAGCCTGTCTTTCTCAGTGAGTGATTTACATAACCTAAGTTGACAGGCGGAAAACTCAGGGGATGATACAGAGAGGTCTGTACGTTGCATGACACATAGGAGTTGATCTTTGCTTAAATATTTTACAATTTTACACATTTCCATACCAGAAATCAGAACGTCGTGTGTTTGTTTAATAGGATGAAGAGGGTTTTCCAGGATTTTTCTGAAAGAGAAGATGAGAATTCAAAGGTCACGAAGATGATAAAAGTTGGCTCCTGTAAAGTTTTACATTCAGTATAACCAATTCCTAGGGCCAGTACAAGCATCTAATGCATCATTGACTATGATACGCCCCCTCCCTCACCAAATCTCTGATGTGCCCCCCCACCATTGTATAACATCTCAATTTTCATAAGGTAGTATTCATATAAAATACAAATTTTGTTGTTGGTTGGTTGGGTTTTATGGCATATCAACCACTGTGGGTCATTTAATGCCAAATTAAGGTATATATATATATATATATATATATATATATATATATATATATATATATATATATACACCTATACATATATTAAATATACAGTACTATTAAACATATAGCTGGCAACATTATTTTTTCAAAAACGCATAGTTGGCAACATTATTGTTTCAAAAACACATAGCTAGCAACATTATTTTTCCAAAAAACGTATAGCTGGCAACATTATTGTTTCAAAAACGCATACCTGGCAACATTATTGCTTCAAAAACGTATAGCTGGCAACATTATTTTTCCCGAAAACATTATCTGAAGCCTTGTTGTTGGACGTAGTTTATCGTCATACCCAGGACGCAAATTTTATTGTAATGAAATTATATACAATAATGGATCATATGCCACAGAAGTGAACAATTCAACAAGAAAAATTGAAAATAAATTCAATGTATCTAAATACAAATTAGAGACATGTCATGCCATTCTATCTTTAATCAATAGTGTTTTGTGGTAATACTTGAGATTTTTCTTCTTACAAAGTTGAATAATTTTAACACATTTAACATTATGGAAAAAAAAATTAGGGAATTTTATATAGTGTTTTATTTGATACTTGGATGAGCAAAATAAATTCATGGATTTAAACAGATATCAAAATCTGTGAAAGTTTTTTATTATCCTTTAATAGTTGAATTTGTAATGTATATAAATAGAGGTAGAAAAAACCCCAAATGTTAATAAGATAGTGAGGGTTAGAAAGCAAAAGCACTACCTGGGGCCCCCAATCAGACTTACCTTTCTCTTTGGGAGGGTAGGGGGGTTGGGCGGGGGTAGTAGCATGCACCGGCCCTGCAGATTCCTATTGACTGTGTAAGTAAGATAGTTATGGATTTGATTGGGTAGGTTGATTTTATGACATGTCAACCTTTGTTGGGTTGTAAACGTATAACAGGACTCTCATCCAACCATTCACAGACTGGACACATTAAAACCCATCTTGTGTGTCTTTTCTTATTCATGCCAGTATGCACCAAAAATTGGGAAATGCCAACTGCAAGCTGATAAGAAAATGAAATGGGAAAATAAACAATACGGTGACAAATGTGGTAGGTGGCATTTGGGACATCTTCTGCCATATTTAGGTTGGGTTTCGTACGTAGCCCATTTGGTATGGCTGATTCGGAAAAATAAGAAATAATTGGATTATTTGGCACAGCCGTTTAAGTGTCAGACTATTTTGATGTCATTGTCTTTGACCGGAAGCAACCCCCCCACCAAAAAAAGAGAAGAAAAGTATTGGAAAAACCCAACTTTCAATACAACTTTTCATTCATTTAGGGAATTAAGGATCTTATTAAAACACTAATGGAAAAATGTAAATTAAAAACTTAAATTAAAAATATTGTATTTAAAAAAAAGGAATAATCTTAGCTGCACTGAGGGAAATATAAAAATACCTCCGACTACTCCTTTTCTTAAATATAAAAATGTCTCCAACTACTCCTTTTCTTAAATATAAAAATGTCTCCAACTACTCCTTTTCTTAAATATAAAAATGCCTCCGATTACTCCTTTTCTTAAATATAAAAATGTCTCCAACTACTCTTTTACTTAAATTGGACTACTTGAGCATATAACAACAAAGTACTAATTTCACTACTAGACGAGAGAGAGAGAGAGAGAGAGAGAACAAACTTGACTATAACGCTGAAGTAGTAATCTGATGCCTAATCGTCCCTCTGCTGACAAATTTCTATATTGAATCAGCCATGCCAAATAAGTGATGCCAAATGGGCTAAATGCCCCATTCCTATTTAGATCAACTTTTTCCCTTTTATCAACACCCTGCCCATCTTGACATCACAACATGTGGATGCAATTTCTAATGGGTGATATTGCAACTACTCCAAGGGACAATCTGTCCATTTTAATAGGTGGTTCACAATTGAATTACCTCAATCCCAACTATTAATGTAAGCCTGTGATGAGAAATCCTCAATATCCAGTTTTGTTGTCACTTGTTCCCCAAAGTTTTCACGTATTTATCTATTATTTATTTTCTTTTGGTCAAGTGGGCAGCCGCTCTGAAGATCCTAGTTCACAGACTTTATTGCTGGTCATAAAACACAAAACATTTGAGACTGGGATAAAATCACATACCATCACCTTCTAGTGTTAACAGGGTTATTTAATGACAAAATCAGTCTTTTTATTTATTATTATTAGAGTTTATAAGCTTTGTTTGGGGATAGGTAAATATTTCTGTCTTGAAGAAGGCAGGATAGAACAATAAATGAAACACTGTGAAAATGCCAACAAAGGTAAGGACTATAGAGTAACAAAACTGGCAGACCAAGTTCGAATTACCACCGAGGCAGTGAATTTTTTTTTTTTAATTTCACATTAATGCTAGAAAAAAAAAATGTTATCACAGGTATATCCCAATGGCTTATGTAGAAGCGTGTTAATGAGTCTTTTTGCAACATCTCCATAATTACCTCACCTTTTTGGTGGGTCGCCAAATACACCGGATACATCCCCCTCCAGAGAGGTAAGAAGCTTACCACTAAAAGAGGCCACCTACCAAGGACATGCTAGCAAACTCAAATATTGATTTGTTTTCTACAACTTATCAACCCTTGTTTAAAGCCAAAATATAAAAAAAATATTTCTAGATCATAAGAGGTCATTTTTTTTTTTTTTTAGATAATAATGGTTTCATGATACTAGTCATACTAATTAACCCATAGCTGGGAGGTTAGAAGAGTTGGATTCATGCCTTTCCCAAAAGGTATTTGTGTGTAAGTGAATATAACAAACCCAACAGGAATTGGAACTTCACTCTTCGATTAACAAATATGAGCCATTATCCATTACGCCATCTGCACGTCCAAGCTTACAACACCTGGTATTTCCTAGTGGTCACCCATCTAGGTACTGACAAGGCTCGATATTGCTTAACTTTGGTGATTGTATGGGAAACAATGTTCCAATGTGATGTGGCCACAGCTAAAAAAGCAACTGCTTGGTTGAAAGCTGTGATTAAATCTGCTGCCTCCAGACAGCTCCCACATGCTTCTGCTTACAAGCCTATGACATCATCTCCTTTTTGAGAATATATCTTCCACAGATATAGAAAGAAACTATCTTTAGTTCACAGTTCTTAATTTGGGAAAACCCCAGGACATGTTTCCTTTTTGTGGAATATGTCCTCACTATTGACATAGTGGATAAATCCAGCCCACTCCAATCTGAAATCTTAAATATAGCTTCTCCAGAAACACAGATGAATCTCCATATTATATGTAAAACCTTATCTTTTCATTCTACTTTCACATGTATTATGTGGACATGTGTTGTAGTTTCTCTGCGTGGAGATAAGTATATATAATTTTGTGTATGGCTTAGCAGGAAAAACTCTAAGAATAAAGCATGTTTGGCATTCCTTTTTCTTTCAGCTATTCTGTTACGTCTGTGAAATATTGTGTGATTATATTGTGAAATTAAGATTAACAAAATGAATAGTGCTTGACAATGCTTCATCCAATAAAGACTAAGCCATCAGTATCTGTCTGTATATGTACACTATTTACATTATTCCGACTATTGTCCTCATCATATTTCTTACAACATTCCATCCGTTGGAATGTCGAACTGAACCCTTTATTTCACTTACTGGGGTAGACTGTTCTAGTTCCACATGCCATGTCTAATTGATGTCAGTTGTCAGTTATCTTCTGTTAATTTCCCTCTCCAAGTTCTTCACTGCCTTAACTGGGTATTGAGTGCATTGAACTCACACTCTTTGGGTCCTGTCACTGGATCTAACTAACGCCTTTATCCACTGGGCCATGTGTCCTTGAGGACATCTGTGTATGAATTTCTGGGTATTATAAACCTAATGTCTTCAGCAATCATTTTTTACCAGTGCTCATATTGCAATTCTTTGCTGTTATCATTTCATCTTTTTACCAGAGCTCATATTGCAACTTTTGTTGTTATTGCTTTTCTCTGGCACTCCTTATTACTGGTTCCCATATTGTATTCATTTCTATGCTTGGTCAGCTTAGGAGATTTTTGTGACCTAGCATATGTGTTGATTCCTTAAGTTTACGAATTTTCCAATGGTGTTCTTTGTCTATGATTTCAACCTGATCCCACAGAGGGCGGTGATCTGCTTTTTCTCTCCATATATGATCTGCCATGCCTGATTTTTCCACTTCCCCTCATGTTACAGCTTTCTGGTGTTCTTGAAGCCTTACCTTAAGGGGGTGGCCTGTCTCCCCTTTATATTTCTTTCCGCAGCTGCACGGTATGGAGTACACACAGTCTTTAGTCATGTTCTCCTCTAGGGTGGGTTTTACTCGGGAGAGATATCTGTGAAGTGTCGTCCAGCTTTTGAAGGTTGTCCTGATGTTATATGGATCACAGATCCTTTGTATTTTCTCTGATAACCCCTTCACATAAGGCAGGCAGACTGTTTTCTGATGATATTGAACTCAAGGACACATGGTCCAGTGGATAAATATGTTGGTTAGATCCAGTGACTAGATCCAAAGAGTAGTGAGTTAATTACCAGGTTAAGGCAGTGGTGAACGGAAAAACATGGAGAGTTGAGTTAAAGGGAAATAACTGAGACAGCCAGAAGAGACATGACACGTGGAACTAGAACAATCTATGGTGGTGGACGAAATAAAGAGTACAATGGCAATGAAGATGAGGATAACAGTCTAAATAATGTAAATAATCATAATACCTCATCTCATAGATACAGACAAAGAAAATCACAGTTGTTTAGTAATTCGTTTAATGTATACTAGCCTGTAGGAAGAAATCTTTGAGTGTAGATATCTTGGACATAGAAATTCTTTCTTGTCAAGAATTACAGGAAGAGGTTTGACATCCTGTGGTACAGGTACAACATCTTGTCTCTGGAATGTGTGGGTAAGGCTACCTTTAGTATGGAATCCTTTGTCTTGACTCCTGCAAAGAGAAAGAAAATGGAAGTAAGGTTATATTTTTCATTTAGTTTAACTGTTAGCAATATAAACCTGTCTGCATGTAAATACAGTTAGGGCAAATACAGGTATCCTTCGATTAGTGTATATCAGTGACTATAAAAAAAAATCAATTTCCAATTACTATGGTTAAACTGAAGAATTTTTTACCCCACTAATCGAGTATTATGTATGCACTAATTGAATTTTGGTACATAAAAATTTTAGTGCACAATTCAAAAACGCATTAATCAAATTAACACTCTTTACATTATTCGAACTATTGTACTCATCATTGTCGCCATATTTATTATGTTTCGACTGTTGTATGCTCCGTCCTTCCAAGGTGGTTGGGATATTGAACTGAACCCTTTATTTTGCTTGTCAGGGTAGACTGTTCTTGTTCCCCGTGCCATGTTTAATGGATGTCAGTTATCAGTTATCTCCTGTTAATTTCCCTCTGAAAGTTCTCCAGTGCCTTAACCTTGACATTCCAACCACCTGAAGAAGGCCAGAGCATACAACGGCTGAAACATTGTAAGAAATATGGTGACAAAAATGAGGACAATAGTCCAAAAAATGTAAATAGTGTACATAATACCTCATCTCAGAGATATAGACAGATACCAAATGCACACTGATCGAGGGATGCATGTATGTGACAATTCTGCAAAAATGTTTGACTTTGTTAATTTTGTCAATGACATTAGTAAATTTTTTTACTTTCAAATCAGAATTATTAACAAATCTTTGAATAATAAGAACAAAAATGTAACATTAATGATAATATTAGTCATTTTCTTATAAGGAAATATTCGGTATTCATTGACCAAGAAGCCAGTGCCACATTCAGTGGAAATTTATAAAATCTTTCTACTGAAACAATTTTTCAGAAAAATAAGTTTCTCAAGTCCACTAAGTGTTATTGTTCTGCAATTTATTGATGGGGGGCTCCTTCCTAACCTTTTCTTTGAAGCAGTGTAAAATATCAACATCTTGATTTGCCATAAATCTCTTTCATATTACGTGTACAATCCATTTTAGTTGTTGCCGCTGTTGTAAGTCTTCAAGTGATATGGTTTCTGCTATTTAGTACAGTTCATTGTGATTCTATAACAACAGACTACAAGGTTCAAAAAGGAGAGTCTTTGTTTAAGACCTATAGGCTTCATTTGCTCATCTTTAACTATTGACCCAAGAAAGCAGTTGTATACAGGTGACAGTTTAAGAAGCAGTAAAATTCAGACCAAAATGACTCCATTATGACATCAGAAATTTTAACCTTAAGATGAATCAGACTTTTAAACTATCTAAAAAGACTTTATCAGTAAGGAAAACTGAGCAACTACCCAATCTTTAACAACAACCCATGAAGATATTAAGTGACAAATGAAACTGTTAAATTGGGAGTTGTCAGTCAGTTCTTTTAATAGGAAATAAAGCAATAGGAACACTGAAAATTAACAAAGTGTATTATTTGATTGAAACTAGATGGTATTGAATGATCAGAGCATCATGGAATTTGATCAAAAGTATGTTTTGGATCTGATAAGGTTTTATGATGGTTTCTTATAAAAAATATTCATTTTATTCATTGACCAAAAAGCCAGTGCCACATCCAGTTGAAATTTATAAAATCTTTCTACTGAAACAAGCAGTAAAATTCAGACCAAAATGACTCCATTATGACATCAGAAATTTTAACCTTAAGATGAATCTGAGCAGCAGACAGCAATTGATTCAATATAATCTTTCCACTTCATGTCAACAGAGAATATTAAAAGAAACATTCGGCATTCATTGACCAAGAAGACAATGCCACATTCAGTTGAAAATTATAAAATCTTTCTACTGAAACAATTTTTCAGAAAAATAGGTTTGTCAAGTCCAATAAGTGTTGATTGAGTAGCACCAAAAAAAGAGATATGCACTGAACTGTAAGCGTTCTCAAAGCAAATTTGTTCAGGAAAATAACTCACTCTCCAACAAACGCCGTAGCCAAAAATGCCCGAATTTTCCTTCTTCGGCAGATTGCACACAAAACACGAACTTTTTTCCGAGGTACCTGATTATCTCATTCACTACATGCACAAACAAATAAGGCAACTAACAGGAGAGAAGACATGCCCATCAACGGGCTGTCTAAAATCAAAGGATGGAACGCTCATATTAGAGAAGGAAAAAAATTCTCCAACTCTGGAGTAAGTATATTGAAGATCTCTTCCACAACGAAAGGGAACAACTAACAATACACAGAACTACTGACAGAACTGGAATTCTGAAAACCAAAGTAAAAGCTGCACTGGTCAAACTGAACAGAAACAAGGCAGATGGGCCAGACGGAATTGTAACGAAAATGCTGACAGCCTTAGATGACTTTGGCATAGACAAGATCACCAAAATTACAAACAAAATCTAGAACTGTGGGAACATACCAGAAGACTTCATCAGATCTGTCTTCATAGCTATGCCTAAGAAACCAGGTGCAGAAAAATGCAAACTCCACTGAACAATAAGCCCGATGAGCCATGTGAAAAAACTCATTATCCGTATACTGATGAATGCACAGTAGAATCAGGCCAGAGATAGGGCAAGAACAGTGCATGTTCGTTAAAGACACTGGAACAAGGAACATTATATTAATGCTCAGAATGTTATCAGAAAGAGCAATACAAATGCAGAAGGACATGTTCTGAGAGAGTTGGAAACCTTACTGGGATTTAGCATTGGTGGCCACAATCTCAACAACATAAGATATGCAGATGACACAGTACTGATAGCAGACATGGAAAAGAAACTACAAAATCTCCTACAGAAGATAGCGATGAAGAGTGAGAAGAAGGGACTAAGCATAAACTACAAGACGACGAAATGCATGGTCATCAGTGAGAGAGTAAGCCTGAAATGCCATTTGCAGGATGGAGACACTAAAATCAAGCAGACACAGAAGTTTAAATATCTGGGAAGCCTTTTGACAGAGGACAGTAAGTGCGACACTGAGATCTGTAGACA